AGTTCACTCAGAGGGCAAGGAAGGGCTCTGATGTGTCCGGGAGCTGGGTACCCGGGACCCCAGATGGCTGGGGGCTAGTAAGCCTCAAGACCCTTTTTCTAGGGCAGGTTTGGAGGAAAGGGCGCTGCGGGGGAGGGGAGGCCCGCAGGCCTGAGTTTGGTAAACCTTGTAGCTGACATAGGTTGTCTGAGAAGTTCCAGACCGGGCTTTGCCGGAGGTGATAACCGCCCACCCCTGACCCTGGGGCCTCAGGCTCACCTCCACCAGATTCCCGAGTACAGGCCAGAGGGAGGGGACTGCTCCAGGGCACAGGGCCAATGGACTAAAGAACCCATGCCTGGGCCCCCGCCCCACCTCTTTTACTTTCATTGTTATCATCCCAGCGGGAGCGGGAAGCAGAGGAAATCAGCTCCGCCTCTGGCCCTGAGAGCCTAAGCTTGCTAGGCAGAGGTCAGGAGCCGGGCACACTCATTGCAGTTAGGGACCCCCGTAACAGTCTGAGATATTGGTTGCCACTCCCCCACTCCTAAATTAACCCTGCATACGACGCTGCTTATCAGAGACCCACACAAGAAAAAAGAAAACAAGAAAGGAAAAAAAAATTCACTTTACTGAGTCACACCCAGCTGTAAACAAGTCACCGTGGGAGCCCCACCCCCCACCCCAGGCCATACAGTCCAAAATGAAATGACTGGGTACATGAGGATCGCCAGGGGGGTGCCAAGCAGGGCAGCGGGCATATGAATACAGCAGGCTCTTGAGTTTCTGGGGGGCCCAGAGTGGGTGGGGCAGATAGAAGGGCTAGGCGCCCAGAAGCCTCCAGACAGCCCAAAGAACCAGGTGGCTCACAGCAGGCCTCCCTGTCGCTGCTGAGCTCTGGCCTGCCCTTCCATCAGCTGTGGTGAGGGGAAGGCTGCCCTGAAGAGACCCAGCCAGCCCAGCCAGTCTCCTGTTCCCCATGAACCCAGGGACAGGTGAGAGTCCAGCTCCTGAGTCCAGCCCTAGATCTGAGTGGCTTCTGGGGGGGTGGCATGGGGCTCCTTCCCTAGGGCAGGGTCCCCCCATGGCCATCCCACAGGAATGTGGCAGTGAGGTGGGCAAGGAGAGGAGCTCTAGTCCTCTGGTAGTGTCCCTCGCTGATCCGTGGTCCCCTTAACTACACGGCCGTCTCCTGATCCTCCCGCTGGATCATCTGGTAATGCTGACGGTTCTCCAGGTAGGCAGCTAGCTCTGTGTCTTGAGCCTTCTCAGCTCGCTGCCGGGGAGTGTCACCCTGGAGAAGAGTGCAAGGGCCCCAAGGCCTTAGGAGAGGGCAAGGGCTCTTCTACCCAGCTTGTGGGGGAGGGATAACCTCACAGGTCACAAGGTTTCCCCTACTGGCTCAGGTTTCTCAGGGCCTGGACTGTGTTGGCTCAGAACAGCTTCAAATTTCCCAGCCCTGCCCCCAATTTTTGCAAAGGGTGGTGGGTTTGTGCTCTGCCAGACAACTTACCTGCTGGTCTGTCTTCATGAGGGAGGCCCCAGCTTCTACAATGTAGTGGCAGATGGTGCGCTGACCCAGGGCAGCTGCCTGGTGTAGACAGGTCTCCCCGCTGGGGAGCAGGGGCTGGTTGTGGACACTTGTAGTCCTCTAACCAGCTGTCTCCCAACAGCCATCATAAAGGGCAGGAGTTTGGCCAGAGGGGGCGGGGTACCCCATGCTGACCAGAAAGGGTTCTTGGGCTCTGGGTGACCAAATGGTTAGGACTGAAGGAAGGTGGTTTTCAGGTGAACCAGGGGCCTATGTCCCAGATACTCACTTCTCCTCCACAGCATCAAGGATCTCTGGCGGTGCTGCAGGAGGGAAAGGGTACTGAGAACCTGACAGCTCCCTCCTTCCCCCCAGCCCCAGGAGCACAGCTCACCATGGTCCAGCAGGTAGCGGACTACTTCCTTACTGCCAGAGCTGACTGCGTGGTGTAAGAGTGTGCGGCTCTGCTGGTCCCGGTGCATGAGGTCACCTCCTGCTCGGTGTAGCTCCTGGAGCTGAGGGCAACGGGCAGGACAGAGCTGGGTCTCCTTCCCTCCACAAGCAAGGACCCAGGCACAGGCTCACACAAGTTACACGCTAGGAGCCTTTGAGGGCTTTTGTTGTTGAGACAGGTTCTCTCTATGTAGTCCTGGCTGTCCTGGAACTCACTACATAGACCAGGCTGGCCTTGAACTCACAGAGATCCCCTTGCCCCTGCCTCCTGAGTGCTGGGATTAAAGGCGTGTGCCACCACACCTGGCTTCTGAGGGTCTCTTTGGGTGTCATTCGAGACACAAGTCTTTTATCATCCTACATGTGAGGGACTCCCCTAAAATGCACGGCCAACCAAGCCTTGGTTCCTTTAAGACTGACTGACCCCCTTCCAAGTACCAGGGACAGGAAGACTGGGTCAGGTAGCCCCTAGTAGTAAGTCACCTAGACAGGGTAACCCCATGGAAGACCACTTGATGATAGATGACAGAGCCTAATAGCACCCAGAGGCTCCGGGGGCAAGGCTAAAGTCTGACTAGTACCTTGCAGAAGTCATTCCTCTTGGCGGCTTCAATCAGGTCTTCACCTGCACAGAACATCTGTCCATCAGACCCTGAGGTCAGAGGCCTGGGCATGGCTTGATGTGTGAAGAGTGTGTGTGATGATGTACCACTGAACATGGAGAGCGCCTGCTGGGGCATATGCTAAAGGCTGGGCTTGTACAGGAACGTGATCACATGGGACTCAATGGCTGTGCTTGTCAACTCTATGTGAACCCCGATCCCCACTGAACCTCCCTCATACATACGACCAGGGAAAGGAAGAGGCCTCACCTTGAGGCCGTGCAGCATCCCCCTGCAGTGACCTGCAAATAGAACAGGGTGGGTTGTGACCTGGCTCAACCCAGCTGGCCACCTTCCCTGGCCCCAACCATGGTGGTCTTCCTTGTTTAAAGCTGACTGAGTGCCTACTGCACATCACACACTGTGGGGTACAAGCAGGGAGCCAGACAGACCTTGCCCTCCTGGAGCTTACATCCTAGCTCAGAGACACAAGCCAACCAATAAATAAGGAATTTGGAAGTGCTATTAAAACACAACAGGGCAGTGTGACCAAGCAGCTGGGGACTGGGGACTGGACACTTTCCAACCTTCAGGTGGCATTCCTGGAAAAAATCCCTCTGAGAAAGAAAAGCCAAGCTGACACTGGGGGTGTCTGAGAAGGGACAAGTGGGAGGCAGCAGGGGCAGAAGTCCAGAGGATGGCCTGGGACCTCAAGGGACCAGTGGTAAGGGACAGGAAGAGAGGCTAGGCTCAGAGAGGCCAAGAGGCCTGGGACTGAAGGGCTGAGAAAAGAGGTTCGAGGCTGGGAGTGGCCTGTTTGGACCTGCACTTTGAGGCACTCTGAATAACAGGCCTGGAGGCAGCAGAGTGCAGAGGAGAGGAGTGTGCAGATGGTGGGGAGCATCACGGTAGAGGGACAGAGCCTGGTGCTCCTGAGTGCTCAAGCTGTGGCTAAAGGCCCAAATCCAAGCCTGCAGCCAACAGACAAGATTTAAGAGGGGGTAGTTAGGGGAGCTCTGGGACTCACCTGGGGAAGGGGGAGCAGGGGGAGGCAGGGAGCGGGGAGGTAGGGGTGGGGAGGTCAGGCCGGGCTGATGCCCCCAGCAGCTCAGGGTCTAGGATATAAATCTCGTCCTGGGCAATCTCCGTCACATAGTTGAGGTGCTCCTGTGGGGGGAGGGGTTAGAACTGAGGGTCAGTGCCAGGCACATGGCCTTTAGTCCCCATGATGGGGGTGGGGCTTGGGGTGGGGAAGCAAGGCAGCAGACCTAGAGAAGGCTCTCTCAGAGCAGGAACATGAGGGGAGGCAGCAGAGAGAGTGGGGGGGTCCCTCTTCCCACCCAGCTCCATTGTTGTTTTGCCTGGTCCCTGACCTCTGTATGTGGCATTCACCAGCTCAACAACTACTTCCCACGGCTAAGCCAGGTGATCCATCCCCGGCTATTTTCTTCTGTTTCCCTGGATAGCACTGTGCTTCCAGGCCCTCCCTTCCACCCACCCAGAAAGCCTTTTCTGGGTGTGCCAGCTTTTTCTGTTGGCACCATCGCTGTGCGTTCCTGGAGGGTGGGGGCATGTGATCCACAGCCACAGGCATGTGAGTATATTATGGCCATGGAGCTGTGGTGAGCATGCTTGGCTAGTGCAGCTAACTCTGTGGAGCTTGCCTACAGGTTTGAGTGTGGGGGATACAGAGACTGGTTGTGGATGAAGGCCTGCAGTGCTTACCTGGGCCCTGTCGATCCTGTAGAAGCGGCTGGCAGTGGTGGCTAGAGAAGAGATGGCTGGCTGAGTATGAGGCATGCACATCCTTGTCCCAGACCAGGTTCCCCCAGAGGAGGACTAGCAGGACAGAGCCCAGGCTGCCTAGAACTGACCCCTCAAGATAGACTTACCATCCAAGAAACACCACTTGGAGGATAGTTGGTGGCACGTCGGGGACTTGGCTCCTGCACCATCGGGCTCCTGTTGAGACAGAAGCAAAGGTCATGGTGGGCCACAGCTAGTCTGGGATAGAAGCTCACGTGTCCTACCTGCTCCTGCTCCCACGGCTTACCTGCTGGAGTCTCTCAATGTGGGCACGGCAGAGCTCTAGGTCGCTGTCTCCAGGGACCACCACGGTGCCCAGAGGCACAGCTGGAGGATAGAGGCCTTTTAGCTGCATGTCCCTGCTGCATGTGTGCAGGCAGCCCAGCAGCTATCCATCCCTCCCTCCCTCCCTCCCCCAGCCCTGCTGCCACTCACAGGCCTCCTTGAGCTGTTCCTTGTCGTAATGTAGAGCCTCATAGTCGTGCATACTGACCCTGCTCACCTGGATCCTCAGCTGCTCGGGAACTGGCTGCTGACTGTAAGGTGGGGCCAATGACAGGGAACTCAACAAGGACCCTGCCTAGGATACCATTCCCCAGATGAGGACAAGGCCAGGTACTCAGAGGGGCATCCTGCCTTCGTCCCAAAGCCTTTTATTTTAGATGCCAGGGCAACCTATAGCCTCATGCATGCTAAGCAACTGTTCTCTTATCTAACAAGTTCCCCTTTGAAGGTCAGGAAACCAAAACTCAAGTAAAGCAGTGCCTGACTCCAGGCCCCACAGTTCATGACGGCTAACATAGGACCTACTCGCTGTGAAGTGGGGCAGCGCTCCTGCGCTTGGCCTTCTGCACCATGGTGGCCTGGTTGCGAAGGGCGATTCGAATACGTGATGCTGCAAGCTTGCAGGGCTCACCATCCACCTGTACAGGGATGGCCTTGGCCGTGGTGAGCAGCACTTCTCGGCACTGGGTCAGCCGCTCTCCATGCCCACCCACCTGCAGTGCTGCCTGTGGGCACAGAATGCTCAGGTCAGGTGGTGGGTGGGGCAAGCTCTGCTCTTTCCAGCGATGCTCTGGTGAGGGGATAAACACAAAAGGGGACCCCAGACAGAATGC